CGGCGGACGTGTCCTGGTCTTGGATGGTGTTGGTCACGGCTTGTGCTACAGAGTGAGAAAAAGTGTCGCTTGGGAGCAGGGGCAGGGCAGGACCTTTTTTCTTTCTTGTTTTTCTTGTTCCAGGTGAGATTTATTTCAGTTTACTAGTTTAGCTGCTCCTGTAGTGGCATTTTTCACAGTATACACTTTTTAACATGTATATATATGTATGTCTTTTTTGCATCTAGATATGAATTTACACTCTTTAAAGGCAAACTGTAAACAGGTTCGTCAGCATCTTCTAACTTTTTTGGTGACAAATTGATATGCACATCACATTCTTTGTGCCTTGGGGCACGGAACTTTCTTGATCAACGTTGTCAACATGACATGATTGTCAACAAACTTCGTGCTACTAGTAACAGAGGGCATCGCTACTAGGAGCAATTACGGTACAAATAGCTCCTGGCCTTACTACTCTAGTAGCATTCTTGCTACTGTGAGAAATGGACATCGGGGACGTTCCTTTCTCCCTGTGGGCATCGTTTTCGCCAGGCGAGGGGGCTCGCACAACATGAGATGTTCAATTGCACAAACTTGGATGCTTGGCGAGGTGCAGTCTCCTTTGTAAGCGGTTTGATCTGCATTTTGGTCTGTTGTGGGTGATCCATATGCATATGAATACGGCCCTCAGCTGCTGTTAACCAATTGCAGTCCTGGCGGGTTTGTGTTTTGCCTATGTGCAAGTCTTCCTCACCCTAGTGTTCTGCAACGGCAGCCATGCAATCAGCTCTCGCGTGAGAGACAGCCTGAGATTTGACTAAGGTCTTTTCCAGCCGTGCGGCTACCTTGCTTTGCGCGAAGGCAGTGTACCGTCCTACACTTGTATATAGTAATATTAGAAATTAGTAATTACATAATATGTCAACATGCCTGCCTTACTATTATACTCACACTACAAGGTGAATTCAACCACCACCACCACCACCACAACAACAACAACAACGACAACGACAACGACAATGACAACGACAACGGCAACGGCAACGACAGCAACCGCCTGCTACTTGCTACCAGCGCCAGCACTAACACCACCACAATCACTAGCTCTCCTGCTGCCGCTCTTGGCCTCTACTTTCACATTCGCGTACTGCCAGGCGCGCCAGTCGCCACAAGAGCGGCTAAATGCATGGCACGACCCCGGGGTCATTGTGGCCGCCGCTTGCCGTGAGATTTGCTACACTGTGCCCAGTCATCGCTTCCGGCACCCTGGGAGTCGTACAGCAGAACTGTGCATGAATTGAACTGAAATGAAGACATGTGCAAACACATGCAGATTGCTTCATGCACGTGCATGTGGAGATCCTTCATATAGCCCTAAGGGGCCGAAAGCAGCGTGGCTAACGAAAGAACTTAGGTTGGTGTTGGCGTTAGCTTTGTTCCCAAGAATGGCAGTGCATCAATGGTGCTGTTTGAGTGCTAGCTCGAATCCACTCATTTCATGATTCTGAGGACAATGTGGTGCTCTTTCGGGGGCCAGCTGAAGATGGCTACCCTTTTCTATCACAGGAGGACCCTCCAAAAGCCTTGGCACTGTAACCTATGCAGATTGATGCCGATCCAACTTTGGAGACTGATTCAGTTGGACTTGATTCTTTTTGCGCAGTTTCTTTTTTTGGGGGGTGTGGGGGGTGGTATATATATATATAGGTTGTGTTTGTAGTGTTTGTGGATCAGGAGCAGTTGAATCTTCGGGTTCTTGTCGCAGGGCGGGCATTGAAGCGTTTGGGCCCAAGATGACAAGACAGGGCGCGAAAAACCTTGGTCAGACACCCCGAGACGGGGGAATAAGGGAATGTACTCTTCGCTATGTTAGGTTGCGCCTACCCATTCCTGGCTTGTACGGACAACCCGATTCATGGTGTTCCTCCTGTTTGCACATGCCCCTCTCTTGGTCCGACTTTGAGGTTCTCATCAGCTTGTACGCTCAATTGTTGGTCGTGAGTGCTCACCACTGCTTACCATATGCTACCTTTTGGCCCATATTCCTGTTCATCGAAAAGACTTGACTAACTTCTCATCTCCTGGCCTTTTTTTCCAGATTTCTGGCCCAGGCCCCTGGCTGCACAAGGGCGCACCTCAGTTGCAGTCCGCCCACTTGAGTTCCATGCAGCCCTTGGTGTTGGCAAGCTCTGAAAGTCTTTTGCCATTGGTTCTTCACTCATAAGGAACAGTTCTTGAACCAAGACGACTTCCTGGCTTTTTCACACCGCTTGAACCTCATGACTTACAAAGCCCTTGAGCTTCAAGCGCCTTGGCCAGAGTTGCCCGAATGAAGATTTGTGTGGCTGTGCCCTAAAGTGTGGGAAAAAGAACACGTGCAATGGGAACGCATTTCCGCTGAGATAACGTACCACTTCACCGGTGGTGGGCACGTTCCAATTCGCGATAGGAATTGGCCGTCCCCTCCCCGGTAAGCAGCGAGAACATTTCACTCTGGGGAAAGCTTATTTGGATGCATTTTGATGTTTCTTGAAACGCCCCGTAAACTTGCATCGCTTCACCAGCGGCCACACCCTATTACTTCACGAGTGTAAACCCGCTGCCCTCACCCCACCGCCGATAACATTATTCCGAATTCAACTCATGCAGAACCTTTCTTTTGGCAGTTGTTCACCTTGGATCTCCTTCTTTGGCATGGTGGGAGAGTATGAGATTGCGGTGTGACATGTTCGCGTGTGTTCGTTTTGAAGCCTATGCCTTTGCACAACCCTGCCGTGTTAGACCTCAGGACAATCAGGACCTGTCATTAGGAACGGCACTGAGTCGCTGAACATCGCAGGAACCAGATGGACCAGCTCCCATTTTGGTCCTTGCTGCTTGCGGTCTCGCGGATGCCGAACATCGGCAGCCACGGGGTGGCATTGGTCAGGTGCAGATTTGCATCCGTTCTCGGTATACAGCAGACGCTCGATTTTTGTTTTATTGCATGTAACATTGCAATGTAACATCATGTAACTGATATTATATTTTACGTCTTTGGATTGTGGAATACGTGCACATGCAGAGTGAAGTATCCATGACATTTATCTACTGCAAGTTGCTGTATGTATTTTGCCAATATGCAGACAGACTCACCCCACATGGGTGCCACTTGAGCTGAACTTGCACCTGTTCTTTCCTCTCGTTGCGTAGCACATCCAAAAGGGGCGTTTTTGTGCGACTCCTCAGCCTGAATCGACCGTGTTTGTTCAGATTTCGGTCGCAGGCGCTCAAAACCTGGCGTACCATGTGGTCGGGCTTCTTCGAGGCCAAGTGCGAAGGGATCGAGTTGAATCAAATCGAGACATGCAAGGAAACAGAGGACACAAAGAAAACCCGTCTCGCGAAGGATCCGAGTGGTCCGAGTGCGTCTGAAGACATGGCATGTTGCAAGGCGGTTGTTGTTGCTTGTGGCGACAGTGAAACTGCCGCCATCATCGACCGGGCGGTCAACACAGTGACCTTGCTGCATGGCCAGGGCGGTGATAGATAAGGGATCCCCTACCCCAAGGACCGACCCCAAATGCACAAGAATCAATGCCTGTCATGCTGGCAATGCTCTCAAGTTATTGCTGTGCCGCTTTCAGCTGTATAGCTAATGGGTTCTAGTGCATGCTGAATGCCGCACATGTCTTTGTGGTGCCGAACCTGGAATACTGCTGAGGATGTATACATGAAGGCAACGGAGCAGAAATTCATCGCAATCTTGGCAGATCCACCCCAGAATCCCATTGAGCAACCGTTGGTAGCTATCAGCAGAAAGACATACGGTACCCGTTTTTGGAACCGTGGATTTGACGGCCTAGCGTGCTCTTGATTCTGAACTTTCTGAAAGACTGCATCGCTTTCTGTCTTTCATGTTTGCAGCTTGGAGTTGCCTGGCATGGACACTTGTAGCAGGTTCTACAGAACCAACCAGTGGCTCCAAGTGCCTCCCAATGGCACTGGAAGCCCGTAACTTGGCATTGCATTTTCTTTTGTGTGAACTTCTTGAACTTGCTCACCTCGGTTTGTGTGAAGTACTATCGTCTGGCATGGATGTAGAAACTGTGGAGGAATTATTGCGTGAATGTTGTATACAGGAATGTTGAGTTGTGCATCATTTCGACCGATTTCTCTCACCACCCGATGTCTTAGATGTATTTTTATCATCCGTAGGATTCCACAAAGACACGTGCAGCTTACAAGCAGAACTACATTCGCATACATATGTGACGTAGAGATGCTAGGCTCCTAGGACTCAGATTTGGCCAACAAGATCGTTGATCAATAGGAGTTGTGGTTGCATTAAAGTTTAAGTTTGGGGATGTGACTGTGGAGATGGAGCTTTGATTTGAGGCAGTAATGCAGCTTTCTTACAATCCTGTGCCTTGTCTTGCCTTGCCTCTGACGCTCGGGGGTGTTGTGACATGAAGGCATTGCTTGTGCAATTTGGATTCGGCATTGATTATGTTTGTTTTTTTCCCCTGAATTTTGCTGTGTGCCTTCTCTAGGTCCATCGTGTCCACAATAAGCGCTAATTACATTCCTAGGAGTCAGTCAGGGTGATTCTGAGTGCCCGGGCAGTGTTTACCTTTTTATAATATATATATATACAGTTATGTATACATATATATACACATGCATCATCATCGTTTATCTGAGGTGTTTTCTTGCATCGCTCGAAAAATGGAGAACATCAGAGAGGCCCCAACCGCTCAGCGCCGCGGTCGACCAGGAACCACCGTTTAGCATTAGGCGTTGGCCAAGCTCAAGCTTGGGGTCGAGGCCCATGATCCAACCCCAACACCTGCACTGTCACACGCTTGCCGAATAAAGTGACATTCCATTTTCAAACGTTCTTTGAGCGTTTGAGAGCACCAAAAGCAAACACTGGTTGCCGTTCAACTCCATCAAGAATTTGGTCAAGACTCTTTTTTGCGGTGGGAGGGTTGGATCACACGCCGACAATTCGGCACAGCGACACTGCGGTGACACGTGCAGGGTTTACTTGTCACTTGGAAGCTGCTCGCGGGGCCAGGCGCCTGTGTCGAGCTCTTCAACTCTTCGGGCAGACCAGCCCCGCAAGAGCGGGCGCCGTGCAAGTGGAGCAGGAATAATGTTCCTCCAGGAGGCCCCTGGAAGCTTTGAGATTCGAAAGGTTCATCAAATCAAATACAAAAGGATCATCACTTCACCACATCCATCGCACATGTTCTTTTTTGCTGTGGACGTCGCGGTCGCAGTGTTGGCTTGGCGTTTGTTCGCCCACACGCATGAGGTGAAGTTGGGAGCCATGTGGCTCAAGTCACCATTCCATGGAAAGTGCGCAACCCATGGCGGCTCTCGGCACACTTTGCTTTCTTGCTGGTGGGGGCATAATGTGCAAAGCTTGCACCAGACCATCCGTAACATCAAGCTTTTTAAAGACAAACAGTTCAAGGCACAAAGAGGGCTTCTGGTTTTCAGAGAGGATTTGTCGTTTGGCGTGCATTGCAACAGCTGGCGTGTCCAGGGCTGCTAGCCAAACACAGCGTCGGTGGCCTACAGGTAAAGTAGTGCAGGTCCAACATTCAGGTGGCCACCGATTCGAGTTCGTCGTGGAGCGGCGGGGCAATTCCATCCTGCTGAGTTCACCACGGACCCCATTTCAGCGTTTGGCATTACCGACAGTGGTCCCAAAAGACTTTGAGGTTGTTGAGCTTCAATTTGCAAATGCTGCTGGTAGCGAGAAAGATTGGCCATTGTTTTGGAAGGTTTTGAGCTGGGAGGCTTGCGGCCATCGTTATGTTGAAATCAGGAGTGCAAGGAGACCGGACGTGTCACTTACAGTTTCTCATGGGCGCCTAGCTTTAGGTAGCTCTGGTGATGCCTTCATTGAGATCTCCTGTGCAGACCCACCACAGCTTCCCAAACCGCAAGCTGGTAGCAGCTTGAGCGGATGTCATTGGAATCAGGAGTTCTTGTCTGATTCTCAGCTTTTGGACTTTGCCAGAGACGGGGTTTTATTGCTTCGAGAGGCAGTGCCACGAACACTTTGGCAAGAAGCGTGTGCTTTGATTCATTCCGAATTAGGCAGACCCGGTGCTATCATAGATGGAGGGTTTGATTGCATGGGTAAGTTGGAGGGAAAGATCCTGCACCGTCACCAGTTTCGCGCTTTGCTCTCTGAAACCGATCGTTCTGGCACCAACGCCGCTGCTCGGGCATGCGCACAACTCTTGGGTCGTCGGGTCAAGCCACGTGAGCTGCAGCGCTGTCAGGTTGCCTTGCGTTTTCCAGAGCCAACTCTGTCCCTAGGCCCTAGGCCCTCCCCATAGCACCGTTGTCCACCGTTGTGTCATGGAAATTGCGCAATACGGGTAGTTGACGCATTAAGCATGTTGTTCAACACAATGGCCCCCCCCCCCACACATATACATATAATATAACATCAAGGCTACCACCAAAGACCTACCATTTTTGCATCCTGCATGTGTGTGTGTAACTATACTATATATATAAATGTATATAGATAACTATGCTGAATGCTGAACTAGAGAGGTTCCTTGTTGTGGGTTATTGCTACAAGTGAAGCGTTTTAAGAATGAAGGACCGCGTGACTACGTGCTATAAGTTTCTTTGACAGACAGATATGGTGCCAAAAGTGCTGCAGTTTTTGAGTTTGTCAAAAGTTGCGGCTATTTTTGTGACAGCGTAGCATCCATTTTGCATCATTTTACCAACTGTGTCCATTGTAATGAGTGCAGCTGATAACAAGTTGGGGTTGTGGCTATACTGGACTGTGCCTGTGCGCTCTTTTTTTTGGAGGCTTCACCGAGTAAAATCCTAACTTTATTTGGCAAGACACCTCCTTTAGAAAAGAAGCTCTTCACAAGAACTTTCCGTTGTTCATTTACGTATCTCCAGCTGGTCTATTCCAAGGCATTTTCCTGTGCTTGAGCCCACAGTGTCCACAGTACACATGTCCCCGAGCCTTCAGATTGAAAAGTGCTAAAAGCACGGCTAACAGGTGAATCTTGGAGGAGGGTACCGTACAATACACATGATTATGTACATTGGAACCCAATGGACCAAGGTTTGGAGATTTCGCCGCTGCCAAATGCTTGGAGCTGGTGGAGCTCAAGTGGCATACAGATGGCTGTCGCACCCGACAGTGCAGCAGACACCCCTTCAGCTTGCTGGTTGGTGTGGCGCTGACAGATACGATGGACGAAGTGCTTTCAGGCAATCTTTGTGTTTGGCCAGGTTCGCATGTTCATTTAAGACGTGAGCCGGCTCTTCGAATTTGTGATCCTGACGCTGATCCCTTTGGTATCCTGGAACTGGGAGCACCATTGTCTGGCTATGAGGCTTTGCCTGAAGTCGAAGCAAATGCGCCTGGAAGCCCAATTGCCTTAAGACTTCAAGCTGGTGACTGCGTTTTCCTGCATCCTCACATGGCTCATGCAGTTGCCCCCCGATATGTTTGCACTGGTGTTCGGGCCATGGTTTACTTTCGCCTCAGGCTTTCTTCGGCTGAGCCGCCCCCATGGCACATCAACGAGACCGGCAAGGAAGTCTTTTTCGATTTGCCTGGGTTGCATCGTATTTTAGGCGATGTCCGCTGGTCGGAGTTCCTTGCAATGCATCAGCTGGTGGAATTGGAAAAGGTGCTCTGCTTCAACCATTGCTTCAGCCAATGGCTTAAACATGCTTAAACGCTGCTATCATTGTCCGCTGCAATTGTTTATTTTTTTGTTTGGGTTCAATCCTTCTCCGGCGCGTTGTTTTTGTCAGGCCATGTCAGAGCAGCAACGGCCAGCCGGTGCTATTCTGCAACATGCCCCGAGCCGACTCTCTGCACCTTGCCATCGAACAAGTCGTGTTCTTGTGATGCTTGAGGCATTGCAGAGAAGTAAAGTGGATAACTAGGGGCAAAGGGCAGATCTGCATTGACAGTTTTGGCTGGCTTCCACGAGTCTTTAACTGCTAAAGTAGCTCAGTAGCTGAAACATCAAGGGTTTCCCCATTTTGATTGGCCCCCTCACGGACCAAAGGCAACAGTCACGAAGAGATTTCAGAGTCTGGCATAGCATGACTTGCTCGTGTTTCCGCGCCTAGTTGGTGGACCTGGATTCGAGAACAGAGAATGGAGAGCCCTCTGCATCGCAATCCCGAGCATTCGGTGCGCTGGGAGGGGGAAGTCTTGACGAAAGGGCTGGAGCCAGCAGTTGATGGATTGCACACCTCACCATTTCGTTCTGGTAGAACGGAAATTCAATCAAGACAAAACTTTAGGAAGTGTTTGTGTTTTCGTTTGTGCAGATATGATGAGGCGATGCGTGTTGTGATGTGCAGCCGCGCGAGTCGCCTCAGTTGGCATTGTGCGTGCATTCTGTGTCGGAGTGGGGTCTGACCCCTCAAAGCCGCACGCAGGACCCTTTGCATTGAAACACTGGTCCGCACAGCGAGGGCACAATGATGCAAAATGCATGTCAGTAACCAGCTTACAGACTGATGTCATAAACGGCGACGCGTGTTGCTGACGGAGAAGCCAAGCAACTCGTTGCAAACACAGTAGAGGCAAGTCATGATAAGTCATCATCCAGGCTGCCAATGCTGACGCATAGGAGCCCCTTGTGCTGCGTCCTCCAAAGAACTGCGATGATTGTGATACCAACTCTCAAATAAACTGTCTCCTGCCCAAGACTCTTGTCTAGAATCTCCATGTCACTATTTCTATAGAAAATTGAAAACTCTTTTTGCTATACAGTACATCCCTCGAAAGCTGTACGGTTGGCCGCTTTCCTCTAAGAAACTACTGTATTGGATACTCTTTTCTTGCTGTTTGTTTTGTACCCTTTTTACTAGAAACCTCTACTACCTTTTTGATACTCTTGATGCTTCCGCAGCCTTGACAGTGCGCATTCTGAATCCTTGATGCCACTTCTCACTCAAGGCACGGCCGACTATCATCTTCCGCCATGTTTCTGTGGCTCTGACACCACGTTCTTGAACCTCACCTCCGGTTCTATTTCTATTAAGTTGCACACGGGATCGCCTTCAGCTATCCTTGCCCAGCCGGCAGCCGTCCGGCCGTCCGCACCTTCCGCTCAGACCAGGTAGCCTTTCGCTCGTCTGCGGCCAGACATTGATTTTTCCAACAACGCGCGCACTTGTTCACACGAGCGTCCAAGCATCCGCATCTCTCAGCTGCATTTTTAAGTGACTCGGAGCTTTCTCATCGAAACTTCCTTCGATGAGCTCCGCCAATTAGATTATATATATATATATAAACAGATTGTAGACATGACATGTTCTTGATGATGCGCAGTCTGGCATTTCTTTTCAAGTGGTCACCGGGCCAGGTAGATCAGCAACATCGCATGGGACCTCAGACGGGCCTGCACGTGGGCTTTTGCTTTCAGATGGGCCCAGGGAAGAAAGAAGAGATGTGGAAACAACAGATCAGTTGTGATCAATTGATCATCAATTCCCAAATCCTCAATGTTCATTTTAGCCCACCCTAGGCATTAGTTTGTCCACCTGGTTGCTGATGAATCCGTCAATGTATATACCAATACTCTTTCAGCTTTTAGATGCCCAGAGTTACTGCACAAAGTGCGTTCATTTTTGAATTCTTATACGCATCGCATTCCATCCCAATTACTTTGATTTCCTTTGGCTCTGAGCGACTCCGATTTGTTCCAGCTTCCCCATTGCCAGGGCTACTGGCGCCTTGGGCGCCGAACTGTCTCGAGATCACTCGATGGTGACAAGGGATGAGTCAGTGGTGACCAGACAGGGCTCAATGCTGATGACCTCTGCAATGACCACTGGTGGCAGGCCCTCTCAAAGGAGGCAGGGCTACACTCACCGCCTTATATAAATGCTTCATTTCGAGCACAGTGTCATGAGCAGAGAAACAGAAACTCCAAGAAATGAGTCACCTTGTCAGGGCATCGATGGCCGTTGGCAAGGACGGGCAAGTCGAAGATAGTCGTGCGCTCATGGACCGACTTGTGCCTCGGACTGCAGCTGGGCAGATCGGAGGATCGAGCTTTCATTGTCGAAGCTAGGCAAAGCTCCGAATGGAGGGGACGGATCATGAGCAGCAGCTGAAAGACGAAGAGGAGAGGGCTGAATGACGCCTTTTGCGCATAGCTTGCTATGAAATCAAAGGAAAGTGATCGGGTGAGCCAATGTGAGCCATCTGAAGATCTGAAGACCAACGCATGAAGCAGTTTTGTATTTTCTAAAAAAGCCTTCGGCCCAAAACTCACACACACACACACATATATATATATACACATACACATACACACATGCCATCATAATGTCAAACGATGGTCCATGGTACCTACAGAATCTGATGGCATTGAGCGGCACAGACGACCCTGATTGCTAGGACCGCCGAAATCAGCAGAAGATGGCCGAGATTCTTGCCCATGGCATGAAATTATCAGCGGTTGGGCAAAGCTTGATTCCTTCATGTCTTGGTTTCAATCTTGTTGGCGCAACAGAGCAAACATGCAGCAGGCAGCCGGCAGGTCATGAGACCAAACGTGCGAACAAAGAGAAGGGGGTAGACAAGGCCAAAGAAGTCCCATAAGAAACACAGAGATGCACATAGGAAGGTGAGGGATTGTAAGTGGGAGGGGGCCTTATAATATATATCCTATTGTAATGCCTTACCTTCCTATGTTCGTCTCTTTTTTTGATATAGGACTCCGTTGTTCAAACGTGTTTCTGTTTTGGGTCACCTCTGAGTCACGGCTGTCTCTTGAGGCAAAAGCCTGGGGCGTTGGTGGCAAGCGCATTTCTGGCATGGTCTCCAAGGTTGAGCCGCACCCTTGGCGAGACATGGGTGAATCATGTTGAATCTCAAGACTCAAAACTTGTGAGTCACTAAACTGAACCTGTTACAGTACAACTGGTAGGCGTCCGGGTCATGCTACGCTAGACCCATGAATGCACATACACATTTATTTGTGCCTTACTGTCAAGTGCATGAAAAGCGTCATTTGTAGAACATGTGGTTTTCAAGCCCATGCTCCTACGATGGCTTTGCATCCAAATTGCTGGTGTGAACATTCGATGGAGATCTTGTGCGATTTGGACCAGGAAGGATGACAAGGGAAAGAGCAAGAAGCTCGGTGGACTCTTCGGGAGCAAGGAGGCATGAACTCAGATCAAGCTTACCCCTGGCTAAGTCCATTTACAGACGATATATATATATATATATGTGGCTGGTCACCGTTCACTCCCAAGTTTTGTACCCTTGCAGGGTCACATACCTGGTACAATGGTACAATGTACCCTTGCAGGCCGAACGAGAAGAGCAAGAGCAGAAGAAGGCAAAGCTTGAGACTATGACCCTGGACAAGAAGAGACAGATTGATTCCAATGCAGTGGCGCTGGCTGCACTAGGGCACATTGGGCTGGGCCTGCTGAGGATGGTAAAGCCAATGTTGAGTATTGATGAGTGATTATTAGTGTGATGGGATGGATACTATTTTGCAATATTTTGCAAATATACACCCTAGCAGTGGTGTTCAACAATGATATTTTTGTATTGTTCTCGGATTTCTCGCATAGCCAGGAGTTCCTTTGAGATCCTTGCCTAGCTTGTGTTTAGCTTTTGAACATTGGACTCTGACCTTCGAACTTCTTTCAAAACAGCTCATCCAACAACTGTCCCAAACAATTTTTGAAGGGAGTGGTCCTCGAGTATCCCGGGATGGAATCATAATTATACAGTACAGCTCGGAGCCCCTGCCAAAAAGATACATTTATTTGCTTAGCCGGGCTCGCTCAGATCCTGGCTTGGTTGAGTCCTTAACGTTCACCTTCAGAATTTCTTTGACTATAATAGCTTCTTGTTAGTACTAGTAAGGCACTTGTTACTAGTAGCGATGCACTTGTTACTAATAGCTTCTTGTTATTCATAGCCTTGTTGTTTTCTTTCCAAATCAGTTCCTAGACCAGACTCCCTTGAATTGCTTGGGGCGGTTCGCTCCACCCTTGATTATTTGCTAGGACGGAGGTGACTAGTGTTCCTGTGAGATCAGCAAGCCAACTATGCACCAAGTGCAATACAAATTGCAGCACGTCACACTAAGGCTATACTTGGGTGTCCTCAGGAGAAAAGTGCGTCAACATAGTTCTTTTTTTCATAGAAGTGGCATCACGGCATCACAGCAAATGCTGGAAGGCCTGCTCAAGAGGCTACCAAGCTAGTCCATTCTTATTATTCAAGAAGCCAGAGCAGTGCAAGGGCTCTTTTTTCTAGGCTTGCAGGTGAAGCTGGAGGTGCCCCCCCCGCACCACTCTGGTTGCCATATCGGCAACCTCTTGCAAAACCAATTCCGTGAAGGACCTCAAGAACTATATATTCAAGCAGATCGAGCGAGAGATCAAAATGAACAACCAGGCGAAGGCAAAGCTGACCGAGTTGAAAGTTCTTATGGAAGGGGTTTTGAAGGTCTTTGTGCGCGCACATTGTTTGACTTATTTGACAAATCCATCGAATGCTTTGGACAGTTTTTCAGGATCCTCATGTTTTCGGGCTCCCTGACTGCAATGCAACGCTTTTGGAACCTAACTGTTTGGTGTGTGGTGTTGAGATGGCCAGTCGGCAGCACACTTCGGGTTTTCAGTTAGACTCAATTGCCACGATGGGAAGGAAGGCGGTGGAACAGTATGGCGAAAAGTCGGAAGCACTTGTAGGTGTTTTAACAAAGGCTGTTTCCCTTGACTGCGATGACCAAGCGGCTCACGCTGCGCCTTTGCTGGGGAAGAAAAGGTTTAGGGGAAAGTATCGTGAAGGACCATGGAACCAAAAAACGAGAGTAGACAGCTTGTCAACAGTTGAAAAGGAAAAGCAGGTACGTGAACCTGGCGTCCCAGGTTCATATCCTCTCCAATCATCAGTAGCTTCGTTGGCCACAGACTGATGAAAGGAGCTGTGGCCCCCTGCCTCTTTTTCTGCGTTGGGAGACTGTAAGTTAGTAGCGATACCAGGAGGCCTTAGTAGCAAAGCC